CTCCCCATGTTCATCTGTCTCTCCTCCTTCATTTTCCACCTTCATGCTTTTGAGTTGAGTGAGACCAGAGAGGACTCGTGGCGCGATAAGACGAACAATAGAATTCTCAGATCGGCGAGGCCTTGCACCAGGGTTCCTGGTGAAACCCCCCGTCTGATCGCTCCAAATTCTCTCGCTTTGATAATTATGATCATTTTCACGGGATTATGATTATTTTCGAAATCGTAATCATTGAGTTATGGCCATGATTGCTCCCACTCAATCCTGGTCCCTCCCGCGCGTTGTTGCTCACTTTTCCCCTCGAGAGACTAAGCAAGCACGCCGAATGGGAACCGATCCCTCCGAAATAACCTAGTGTTCCTCTTTCAACCCCGTGTCATATGTTGAAACTCTCATGCCGGGCCTCTCGATTGAGTTCCGTTGCTGCGACTCTGGACTCAGCTCTGACTCATTGAAACTGTTGGTAACGCCCGCTCACCAGTGATGATTGAGATGGAAGCCCGAGGTGGACTTTTTTATCCGAAACTCGAACTCAACTCGACTCATTTCTCCAGTTGCCTATGGGATCAGCTAAGATTCTCCGCGCGACTTTCTTGAGATTCGCGAAAATAACCTGTACCTGTTCCCAGACCGGGAACTTCTGCAAGCCATTGGCGTTGTCAGCGATTCCCAGCTTGCGTCGTTGAGAAAGTTCAGACCGAAAATCTCAGCGCAACGGTCTGCGGATGTCGCTGCAACCCTCAGATATTGTGCTAGTCCAAAGCACTTAACCGCACGAAGGTGCTCGTAGAGCTAAGCTTGTTAGTTAGAGATGCAGATGAGACAGACGGTAGCGATTCGGCTGGGATTCCTTGCCAGCCGGCAAGTGAGCCGACTCCCCGACACGGTGCATGCTTAATTAGGGAGACAGCGTTCCCCAATTCCTCCATTCATACAACAAGCGCATATTCATGTGCTCGCGAGAAGAATTAAGCTCGGTTTGAGTGTTTGGGATAGGTTTTGTACGCTTGAGTGGAACTCTCCGCTCGAATTTTCAATTCGGAATTGAAGGTTCCGCCGAAAAAAATTCTGCCCGAAAATCAAGGATGGGAACTCCCAGATGCGGAACAAACACTATTTTCAAGGAGATATTCCGGAGCTACCGGACGGTTCATTCGGCCATGCAGGCGATAAAAGCGATGAAGGAGCAACTTGTCAAAGCTGATCGATCACGATAAGGCATCAACGCTCAAAATTGGGAATAATCCTCAACTCTCGCGGAACACGTGACATGGGTGTTGAGGATCGAATTTCGAGAGATGAAGTTGAGACCAGGAACGGCCGGCAGCGATGTCCGAGTCGGAGCAGAAGAATGAATCGATTCTCATCCCATATTATATTTACTCCGAAGAAATAACTCCGTGAAGGCGAACTTTTCCTCGACGCGACGGAGACAATGCCCCGATTCGAGCAGCTCCTTGATCTCAATACTCATTCTTCGCATCGAAGTTGGTGTTGGAAGGAATGACGGCATAATCTTCACGTCCGCCGTCACGGTCAAACGTCGGAGTTTTGGGTAATCGAGACGAAGTTTTCCAGGAGTCGAACCCTCAGTAGAGAATTCCCTTTATGCAGAAGCGCTAATCAGCCGCTTATAGCGTTGCTCCCCTTTTATATTCTCCGGAACCCATCGGTCCTTCTCGACTACATCTGGACTAGCCAGCTCACTCTCCGTGCTCGTTCTGTCTTCTTCTTCTCTTTCCTCCTCCCGGTCATCTCCAGGAGTCATATGCAGTCTCTTTTGTGCAAAGATGCGTCACCATCGGGCTATTGTGTTCAATTGATTCGACGGGCTTCAGTGCGGGAGGGGACAATGGAAGGGTCTGACGAAGGGCAGAAGCTGACTGAGAAGTGCGAGTTGCAAAGAAGAGGGATATGAAGGCGAACTGCGCTTTTTTTTTCAACCATACACCCCACCAACGCCAGCCGCGAGAGCCCCTGCTGAGTTTGATGAGGGGCAGCGGTAGAGAAGATGGAAGAAGACTCTGACGATTCAGCGTCGTCGTCGGGACCGATAGTCCCACCAAGAGGATATAGGAGTCATCAACAACGCTCGGAAGTCGTCTTGTCGGAAGTGGAGATGACAACAAGGTTGTTAGCAGCTTCTTATCTCAGCCTCGGAGACAATAACGCTGTCGTGTCGCTGGGACGACAAGGCATGGAAGGAAATTGAGCGTTCGCCCTCTCCGTTTGTCTCCTGACTCCCCGTGCGTATGGCAACGATGGGGTCATTCCCTGATTATGGATAGCCGTTCACGTTGCCTTGTTCCTCGGCTCACAGTGCACCAGGCGAAATCATGAGGATCATCGCGAACAACATTGCATGTATCGAACTGACTGACTCACTTGACAACAACAGACAAGCCATTGAATCATTCGACGCGATGCTTGATTGTCGACTGGGCGTCCCGCAGCACGGCCAACCCCGCCCGCGCCTGTCCATTCAAGCGCGCGCCGAATCCTTTGCCAGTTGGCGAACCCTGACTCAAATTCCGGCGAAACTCTCGACGAGCAACCTCAATACCGGGCTCCCTATCGAAAATCACGAATCGGCTCGGACTTCTCGGTAGAAGGATGAAGCCAGCAGATTAGCGACGTTTTTCCCTCTTTTCCCGGACGAAGGAATTGGCTCGTTGTGGTTTCAATGACTCGGATGGCGGATTCCGGTCAGAGGCGCCGGATGGGGATCACCTTAGTCGCGGTTGCCAGACATGGAGTCCCCATATCGCTCGCACTCCTGCGCGCTCCCACCATCCCTATCCCACCAGCCGTAGCATACGTACGATTACGTCGTCGGGGGAGGGATACGAGTGTGAATGTGATGCGCACATATGTATGTAGGCTGGGATAAGAAGACGCCCCTTCCATGTCGATTTGACGTGCGTAAGCGAATGGAATAACTTCGCTGATTGCGTGGCTGGGGAAGAGGCGGGGTGGGCATGGAACCCGGGCTGAAAGTAGAGGCTATTGCTGCTTGTGCGAATATGTGATCACCACTTCTCAATAACATGGTTCGCGGCGCGGAATCGCTTCGTGGAACGAGAACTCGGATCCACAATTGACGCGAGCGGCATGTTGTGTCTGCATCAGTCGCCGTTGGAAAAGTTCCACTGGAACAATTTCCCGACCTGATGGCAAAAACGACCAGCGGTCGCACTTCATTCTGAGAACGTATGCCTCAAATTTTCCCACTCGAATCACCACAAACGAGAGAGGAAGGAGCGAATCTGAGGTCGATATGAAGAGGAAATAGCGGAGGAAACTCGAGCTATTGAGCTGATGCGGAGGGAAACACCGCGCGGCCTCTTCTTCGAGAAAAGTCATTCGTATGTACATCGTGGCTGATCTCTTATGAGCTGCTGATGCTCGAATCGATGGAATGCTTAGTCATATCCTGAAACTAATGGCCCGCGCGACCCCATCGCGATAGTAACAATTCAAACGAGCATCATGAACACACATACTATGAACGAGAGGAAGAGAGAGAGAAAGAGGGGGCTCTGAGCGGATGGAAGAGCGGGGAGCTCGTCGGGAAAAATTACATTCGCTCAGACAATGATAGGCGACTCTGAACTGACAGACAAACTCCATCTCACCCCCTCTCCGAGCGATCGCGAACCCGGAGGGACGGGTCGCGGTAGGCCAAATCTGCGGAAGCGTTTGCGACTAAAAACCCATCTCGCAGACGCACGTCATGTCTGGTGGGATGGTTGCAGGACGGTCACACGAGAAGGGTGGACGACGTCGGTGGCCGTCCTCGCAGCCCAGATCGTATGCAACAACACGTTAATTGTCTTATTAATATCTCTGAGTGAGAGCCGCACGCCTTATCTTCGGATGGGTGCGGGACGATGCGTTGCGCCACGGGACGAGAGGGGGAAAAACGCGACGTTTTATTTGCGCATAATGCCGAGGCAATTTGGGAATTTGTCCCGCAGGCACTCAAGCAAGCGAACAGCGGCCCTCCGGGGGTTCTGCCACTCACCACATATTAACCCCACACGACACAACAGGCGGCAGCAACACGAGGAGCAGCAGATGTCAAAAAGGACGTTTCTGGAATTTGTTCGCTTGCATTAGGGACATTAGGTCGGTGCGTCGTATGAGCGCGAGCGCGCGGCGGGAAACGTTGAGTAACGGCAGCGGGAAAGTCGCGCGAATTCAAATTGATGTGACTCAACTCGAGCCAACCCGTCTCGACCCTGCGCTCGCCTGCGAAGTCAGTCAGTCGGTCGCTCGGTGAGCGGAATCGCTTCCGGATCCATCGAGTTTTCGGAGAGGCGGCAACAAGAGACGCAAGCATTGACGACTACTGACTGACGCTGCGACGAGTCGCCTGCGGTCCAACGGAGCGGAAGCGCTGGGAAAAAGTCAATGGCAAGAGAACATGGAAGAATCCGAGCGAGGCATTCGGTCAAACATCGAGTTTGTCCACTCGCCGAACGATGTCAGAGCTCGCTTGCCCTTTGAATGTACACATAAGTAAGTAGGTGGAAGCAAACAGAGCGGCGGCCAATTTCAAGGGTAAACAAGCACACAAATAGACGCGCACAAACGCTTCGACGGATGACCGACGGGGAGAAGGCTGCGGATTAAGTAGACAGTCCTTTGTTGAGGAATTCCACTTCCTCCGCGAGCTATCAGCAAGATTGGAAGCACCAGTCAGAGGGAGGGCGGAGACGATTTCAGCACGACATCGTTAACAAAGTGCAAGCGCTCGGACAAAGGGAGCCGAACTTCGAAATGTATGGCTCTTCCTGGAAACTGAAACCGGACGCAGATCCAGAGGGAGGGCCCGACTCTCTACAGAAAATCCGTCGTTGATTGGCAATCACGAGGGATACACGAAGCCAGGACGAAACTCGGTCTGGTGCTAGGAGACAAGTTTTGAAGGTTGTCGCTGGAGTGATGCATCGACCAAAGTTCATCTCGAATCAACGTTGCATGCCGACCCCTCTCACCCTTCGACTCGGTCCCTCGCTGGTCTCCGGCCCCGGGTTCGACGTGTCGCAAATCCAAATGAATGAATGAAATTATGAAGCCCGAGCGGGTCCGATCGCTGCCCAACTTTTGATGCGGTGACCGGCACTTTATCGTGGTATCCACGGAGATTTTTGAGTTGAAGCGATTTCCATCGAGCAGAAGCGGACGCGCGGCTAAAACACCGTCGGAAGCTCCCCTTGTCTGTACTTTCTGCGATTCGCGCCTCATTTTCCTCAGAATGATCGACCTCGGTCATGTTTACAGAGAATGGTGATTGCTCCAGGTTCGCGTACTAGTTCCCCCTAAGAGGTATTATTGGATGTAGTCGTTGCGGGACTCTGGCTCGCGGGACCCGGAGCGGCACGGAAAGCTCGCCCACGCCAATCCTCGGCAAAAGAAGCCACTGTCGACCGTATTATCGCTGCCGTAACCGGACGTCATAAGACGTTGTTTCCAATACTTTCGTCGAATGGGGAAGAATCATACGTGAGAAGGAAGCCGTGGCTTTCTCTGCGTGAAAAGAAGTGAGTGGGAATTCCCCGCTATGAGTTACGTGAGGAAACGCCGCTCGATAAGATTATACCGTGTAGGCCTCAAGGGTCCTCAGCCGGTCTTCCCCACGTATGGCCACTTTGTACTCAACGGACACAACGTGTGTGTTGTACCTTCTCTTCGATTCCTTCTCCATCTCGGAACTCTATGAGCGAGTGCGACTGTGAGGCGGTACGTGGAGAAGACCGATGGATATATCGAATAGTGAGAGATGGTGTACGAAAAACCACAGGGATCCCCTCATCCGTCTCTACCGTGAAGTGTACCGACTCGTCACTCGCTATTCATTAGACGGTAGGTTTCGTCAGCGGAATGCCTCGTTATCGGATACGTATCGAGAGTTGAAGAGCTTGGATGGCACACGGAAGAGGATCGTCGTTGATAAAAAGTGCTGAAGATCGCAGCAGCTACGACAGCACCATAATTAAACATAATTGCAATATCTGAAACATGAAACCCACGGGCGACGCCGCCGACCGGAGAACCGGATGGTGGGATTCGGAGACAGGAGGGATGATGTGGCCGAGGCTGAGTGAGACGAAATAATAAGAGTAATAACAAGCCCTATTACGGTCACATCCCGCTCCCCGTACAGGAAAGGAGATGGATAAATGATAACAAGATCTATAGCGTGTTTGGGATCCCGACGTCACAATCACCGGGAAGGATAATCGAGTTCGCACGATTCGCCATTGATTGAGAAACCCTAACCGTCAGGTCATATTGAGGGGAAAAATCCATACGTCCGACTGAATCGGATGCTTTCCGGAAATGGGTCGATTCCACGCTGGATCGAGCGCTTCTTTTGATATTTTGTACAATGCGGGATGTTGAATCCGGAGTTCGAGAACTAGGCTGAGGAGAAACCAAAACTCACCTGTTGTGCTGGGTCGAATAGGAACGAAGACGTGGTAAACTTTCCGTTGTGTGACTAGAGTTTGGTTTGGGCCAACTCGGTTCGAGGCTTCGCAAGCGTATTGCGCATCTTGCGTGGCGTTGATAGAAAGATAGGAGTGCGATAATGAAGGTTTGACGTTCTTCAGCTGAAATCAGAACGGAGAGACACTTCAGTTCTCGTCTCTTTGTCACTGCACTTCAGAACACCGCACGAGATGCTTCCGTCAAGTCTCGCTGGGAACGAAAGTTTATCCGAGAAAAGTTTGTTCGCTTCTTCCTTGAACGATTGATATGTCGACGACTTGGTCCGTTTGGAGTTTGACAACTTTTCAAAATCAGGTTATCAATGTGATATGTTCCGGATATGTCGTTTCGGTCGCGGGAGCGATGCTCAGTCGTTGGGGGCGCGCACGAGACTGAAGACACGAGATTCGCCGGCACTTTTAGTTTGGATGCCCACCACCAGGGTAACCGGAGTCGAACGAACCGCGCTATCCTGGACCCAGGAGATACTCCTCCAGGAGCACCTAGAGGGCGCTCTATTCTCAGACAGATGGCATCCATGTGCTCGAGTTTGTTTACAATCATTAGAATGAAATTTGCCACGCAATATCCATCGATTCATCTGTCACGGCAGCGCTGATCATCATTCTTCCCTGATTCCAGATGAATCGCCGGGTTCCAAGCGATGTGGGGTGAGCCTGGCGTTTGTGATGTGCGATCGGACGATCGTTCAGGATTGCGTTCTTCCTCGATCCGAAGTTCCTCCGTGGAACTGTGATCCATTCGGCGCAGCGAAATCAATCATCTCTATCAGACCGAACGGAAAACGCAATCGTGGGAAGACTGCGAGGCTACTACCGTCGCGTCCTCGCTTTTAGGCTGGTTCACACCTCAAATCAGCGTATCGGCAGACTGCGCCCTTCATTCCATAGATTTCATCATTGAAGCGGAATCTTCGGAGATTCCCCCCGGAAGGAGCGACTCTCGGAGCCAGATAATGCGGTAACTTCGTGGATCGACGTCGCGAACCAGTACATACCGAGAAGGATCGGGAACGATTCCGTGACGAATACTACCAAAGGTTAGAGCCAATTGAGGCTCCACTCATTAATTGTTATCCACTATCAAGTAGAAATTGATCTCTTGGGCAATAATCTCGCTTCGCAGTGCCGGAGCATCCCGGATGCGGCGAGCCAACGCTGAATCTCACGGGCGCAAGCAACGCTGAGCAAGGTCCCTCCTCTTGGCCTACTCAGGGAGCGCTCCTCCGCAACTCAGAATGAGACCACTATCCTGGATCCGAATCTCCGACCAAGGTTCTCGGATATCTCGAATTTTCGAAATCCATGTCGCATTACTGTGCTATCGCGCGAGTTTACTTCAATCGCTAATCCGAAAAAGGAACGATGTTGAAATTTCGCTTAGCGACTCTGTTCGGCTCGACTTGATATTCAATTTCGGCGTCGCCTGCACTAGCTTGTCCGTGCTCATGCGATTGTACGCGGGAATATCGGCATAATTCCCACGAGAGGCCTTCGCCGATTTGGATTTTGCCGGAGAATGCATGTACGAATGACATCCAAGTCGGGAAGGATCGAAGCTAGCTACTCTGATGAAGTGATTTCGCCGAGCTTCCTTCAAGGGAATCATTGGCTGATCTATTCTCCTCATCCCGGAGCGTTGATTGAAATCCTGACGTCTAGAAACATCGATTCGCCAATAACGCTCAATGTGTGGAGGGGGTATAGCTCAGTGGTAGAGCATTCGACTGCAGATCGAGAGGTCCCCGGTTCAAACCCGGGTGCCCCCTATTTTTTCTGCGAGCTCCATTTATTGCCGGGACACCTGCGGTTTATCCGGCAGAGATTCGCCATTGTTTCCATTTAAAACCCACTTCGATGGAGAGCAGTAGCCACTGGCTAATTTGGGGAGATTATCGAGTTTTCTATGTCAGTGACCGGAATGGCGCCACGATGAGCCATCATTGAGCTGCTTGGGCATGGATCGTTTCGCTGCCGCGTCGCTTGGAAACCGGTCGGGAAGCGCTGGTGGCTGATGTTTGTTTGAGGCGCTGTGCTCTGGTTGACGGTTCGCCCTTATGACGATTCTTACCGGAATTCAAATGCGATGAATTATCATCGCGGTCACACAGAAATCATAGAGATACGTATGATAGAGTTCAGCGAGACAAAACGCTTGACCCGCAAGTACAAACCTCCCTCGGAGGGGCAAATCGAATCGTCAGTAACTTTCAGGGAACCGTTCCGGGAACTTTGGACTGAGATCTCGAAAGTGCAGCGGAGGAACCGGGCACCGGGCGGGTTTCTTGAGCTTTGACACGTGTGGAATCGTAGAGGATCGTCCCACGGCGGACGCCGGAGTTCGCAATGGGAGCTGACTATCTTCAGTCTAATGTTCCGCCCTCGAGCTATATCTCCGCAGCGGAGGTCCGGATCATAAAACGAGAGCCTCGATATGATATATGTACGAAGGTGTGAAATATATGTCGTATGACCATGTGTGAGAGGGAAGATTGGGATTGCAAGCAGGGCAAAGAGGCATCTCACATTGTGACATTCTCCCTCGAATTTAAGCGAACGTCTCATACGCCAGAAGAGCGCAATTGATATGCAGAGGGCAGATAGAAAATTCCTCTGGATGTTTTCTCTAGATTGTTCAGACGGAGGTCGATCATTTCCACGCAAAGAGGTCGAATTCCAAGCACAGAGCCTAGCTGGGCGGTTTATTGAGCTGTGGACCACGATTGAATCTGAGAGGAACAAGTCCCTGAATACCCTGTCGAGTCTTTCCATCAATGTGAGAACGATTCCAGGACGATTCAAACTGTCTCCTTCCGTAGACGACCACGGTTGACAATGCTAAGGTCCCGTAGCAGCACGTCGGGCCGCGTTTACGACATTCCTGCACAGGTATGATCCTGGATTTCAGTGCGCATATTCTCCCGTTATTCGATGAGTGATCCAACCTGGGTTTGTTTCCATTGTTCGAGCTGCTTCCGATAAGAAGGTGAAACTGTAACTCGTCGATCCATGCCGATTAACGTAACCGGACCGCTCTTGGGCTTAGCCCGAGAGCAAGCGTGAATAAGCAGAAGATAAAAAGGGGCTTAAGAATTATTCACACGGTGATCCCGAGCTGCAGCCTCTTCAAATAGAAGCACCCTCGGTGGCTACCATCGTAAAAATTCAAACGAATATTTCAACAGACCACGGTCGTTGCGATAGCTCCATGAGAACACAAATCCTGAGCGGCTCGGATCTCCATTCCGAGCGCCGTTGCCTTAGGAGTTGTTTCGCCGTTCAGTCAGCGGGGAGAGAAAATGTTCCGGAAAAGTGCCATTAGAATTTTTCCTGCTTTCTGCTCCTCTGTCTCGTTTATTTCTCTGTCTCCCTATCCTCCATTGCCGGAGTCAGGCGATCGCAGGCTCAGTTTTTCCGCAGGAGGATGTGGAACGAGATAAAATATTGGATTTTGAGCGAATTCTGCGACCGCCATTTATCTTTAACGGAAAGCCTTTTGGACTCTCGCTCAAGGATGTGACCCACTCCCCCTCGCCGACGCTCTAAAATATGACTTCGTTCAGACAGAGAATCTTCGGAGAGACCCTGCGAAGCGACATCGATGGATCGGGGTGTTGGCAAGCCAGGATAACAGAGCCTGTACGGTGTCCTCCTTCGAGGGGGTCGCTTGGAGCGAGGGAAAAAGGGGGAACGAGCCTTCGGGAAGCCAGAAAAGGCAGAAGAGGCAGCTGTCAGTGTTCACGCGGAAAACGGGGAACGGTGTTCGTGGAAATCTTCCGGAAAGTGACTCTGCTCTTACGAACTGACTCGGAAGCGGAGACGCGGGAGGAGCAGCCACCCAGAGAGAAGGGGGCATGGTTGACAGAGAGGACGATAATTTTAAGCTGAAAAAACTTCGGAAAACCCTCTCCAGTGAACCCGTCTGACACTCGGACTGAAGACTGCGCTTCGGAGACTTTCGACTCCTCTGCGACGCTCACAACCGACGCGAGAGTTGCACAGAAGGGGACACTCGAAAATTGCGAGACATCAAAATGCACCCCGACGACACGGTAGAGATGTCTAATAGAATGACACGCTCGCTGTTCGAATACTCCCTCGCCTCTTACATGCGCCAGCCACTATTCCTCAGCCGTGTTATGTTCCCCCGAATCCTAGCCACTCCCTCCATATCCCCCGGGTCTCCGCTCCATGCTAAGACTCCTTCTGGCCCTCACGAGTGCATTGGCTTTGTCCGCATCGCAACCGCTCATTTTGACGACTCACACAAAGAAACTCGATGTGAAGAAGTTAGGAATCGACGAACTGTTCCCGATGATTTTGCGAGCACATCCCACGGCGAGGGTCCCTGTGACCCTCCCGTAGCATACGGGAATTTTCCCTCTCTCAATATCATACGCATGTTCCTCAAACACCGCGAATCATTAGAGATTATGTTCGAGGTTTTTCGCGAACGATTCGAGTCCGGTGAATTCGCCTAAATCGGAATCGTCAGCTCCACTGCATCCCGGTCATGGTTCTGATTTTCATGAGGCTTCCGCTCGCTCAAGTTATTCCCGTCGAACGTGTCACTTTGGTACGGAACGTCATTTACAATCGGACCCGGGCGGCGAGGGCACACCCGCATATTTTTCGCAAGCTGAAGAGAGATGGAAGCAAAAGGTCGTGCCGGGGCTTTCCTCCATTCACTTTGCTTTCGTTCATGTCTCCCTCGGAGCATTCGGGACTGCGGAAACGACTCGGGTTTTCGCTTCGAAAGGGCGTTTCGTTCAAATCCGTGTCGCCATTAGGCCGACCGCTCAAGAGAAATCTCCTCTCCCACCCTGAAGCCGTCTTTCATTCTCGATACTGTGTCAGCTCTTCCGCCGTCTGCTGTGACGATGCAAGCATGCTTTCGGCGATGTTCAAACCGCAAGGAACTCGGAATGAATTCATTCTGTTTCCGACCTCATGAAAATCCGTTGCCGGGCAGATCACTCTCGCGACCGACGGCGACTGAGAAGACTCATTCCAAGCCGATGGGTGAGGAGGAGAGTTTCTCATTAGATTCAGGCGGCTTTTCTCGTCTCGCGGTGTTCACGGACGCTACCTCGCCCGTTTTCTTCATCAAACAATCAGCTAGTTACACGGCAATTGAACACCTCATCGCACCCGAACAGATCGGCTCGGATGAGGCTGATGGTAGAACAAGCTGTCGTAAAACTTCAGCCCACCCTCCAATCGGGCCGCGTAGTCCCACCGACCGTCGACGGGTTGCCCACCTCCTCGGTCACTATCCGCTTTCCTCTCCGTTAGCTCCAAACTCTTCAATCTTAATTCGCTGCTCGTATTGTAAAAAGCCAAAAATGTTGAGGGGTACGCGAGCGCGGCGAAGAAACGCGAAGCCACTCTTCCGTCCAATTTGAGTTTCACTACATAGCGGCTTAAATTTCATCGCCCGAGGGCGTGTCGTAACAAGCTTTAATAAAAAGTTAACACTGTTCTAATACTACGGAGGAGCCATCCTTCCCCGTAGGCGAGTCCGACACTTTGTTGCGAGATTTCAGCTACGAATGTTGCGCGAAGCGTGGGAGGTACCTCCTCTGTGTCTAGAATTGTTCTCCGTTCCTCTGCTTGTTCAATATATATGATGAAACACGTTGGGCCTTTTTTGACTAGAGAGTTTTCCGTCCCCACCTCGGGCATGATTTCATGCGAGCACTCTCCGTGCCCGAGAAGGCCGACGGCTCGCTTCACGGGCAGAGTCTTGGAATTTATTGACTTTCGCTATTCTCACGTTCGCCCCACTCCCCTCTGGAAAAGGTGAGGTGGTGGGACACACGACGTAAAGGTCATTCATAGGCTGACCTTTCGAAACGCCGCCGGGGAGCATGAGAGGAACGTGACGCGACGTACATACTTCTCGAACGTGCATTTTCAAGACGACGACAGCCGTTGACCCATATATCACGGATCGAGGCGATCGTCTGGGCCCTCGACTGACCGTAAGGAGAGTTCTCGTGGATCTCATTGCCTTGATAGACGCCGCGATCGGTGCAGGGAGTGTCTTCGCAATGTACGAGGAAGTTCCGTCGGGGTCTCAGCATCGAGAGAACTCTGGAAAATGCGTGTTCTCGCGCATCGCATTTTTCAGAGTTCCGACCCCGCCAGGTTCGGATTATTCGGGCGATTTCCTCACCGATCGAGGTCTCCCTGAACCGGGCCTAAGCTCTGGAAACATTGAATCGGGGCTGGGATACGGTCTCAACGAACGCGCAGAATCGCGATTTCCGTCGGAGATGCGGGCGAGACCCCCCATTCGATGTGAGCGGCGACCTTACTTCCTGCGTGTCTGGAGCCGACCAAGTGTTAAGCTTGAGGAGATTCGCGTCTGTGTGTGTTTTTGAGCTTAGCCGGAGCACGAATTTGCTCCATCCCCAGCTTGCTTTCCGGCAAAGCTTCTCGGGAGCAGCCCCGCGTGCGCGATCTGCGATCCGGAACGGCCGACCTGCAATCCTCGGAAACTTCGAAACTGGATATCGGCTATGGCTAACATCGAACGACGCACGCGGGCTCTTCTCCAGAAATGTAGTCGCGGGGCTGACTTCCTCGATTTTCGATCTCCTCTAACTTCTCGCGGTAAAGATTTTCCCGACTTTGAATCTATCGAAAATGAATGTTTCTGAGAAGATGCAATCAATACAAGCATATGACGTGATAGATGTTCATCCATAAGAGCTCGTAGGAACTCCGAAAGCTCTCCTCGCTATCGTTGCCGCAGTGGACAGGGGGCAACGCCGGCGTCATCAGCGAGGAGGGATAGACGGGGGCATCGTTTCGTTAAAATGGTCGACAAAGCTGATAATGAAGCCGTCCGTTGCTAATGATCACTCCAACAGATGTCAACCATTACCACAACAAGACAATTTAGGCCATTGATGGCATCTCTCCGACAGTATGTTGGCCGACCAGCCAGTAAGTTACCCACTCGGTCAGCTGCTCACACTGTTCGTTTCGACTGAGTGTCGAGCAGAGAGGCAGAACTCGACCACGGGGGAGAATTCGGACGAGGCCACAATGGCTCCAAGAATGCGGCCTAAGTGACCCAAGTGTCATTTTTCCTCCGCTCATATCAACCCCAGGAGCATGAAGAGCTGAGGAACGGGCTCCCGGTCTCAGTTTACGTATCGGAATGGACAGAATGAAAAGATGCTCAGGTTCTTCACTCCATGGAGGCTAGCCCCACGCAGGAGCTTCAGGAGGAACGGACTCATCGCGCTCCCGGTAAATGTCGATCCGCTCGGCTCCAAAAAAACGAAGCCTACCATGATACTCAGGAGGATACTCTGTTCATTGTCGACTCCTTGATCGCAGGCTTCCAGCAGCTTGACTAATCAGTCGGAATACGTAGCCGTGGGTCGGGAATCCCTTACGGATGGCTCCCGGAAAAAAACTCAATACATTTCTCAGTCCGATTTCAAGTTCGCGAGCGGGATTTCTCGGCGATCGTTACTGCGCGTTTCAATCACTCACCAGTTCTCCGTTGAAGAGCCATATGATTTGAGGGGCAGGCTCACCCCGAGCTTGACACTCGAGGAGGAGTTTCTGCCCGTACGTGACGTTGAACCAACGGCGTCCACCGCTGATTTTTGCAGGATCTGAAAACGATAGTGGAGCTCAATGATGATATCTAGGGCGTCTATGCTGATGGGCTGCGATATACAGCACAGCCTTCACACAGGTGATTTCTCATGGGAAAGTTTCAAAATAACACTGCGACTTAGGTTTTCCTGACAAGGAATCCTCCAGCCTTTCTCCCCCATCGCGGAATTTATCTATGCTACCCACGCTGCAGCGACGAACGGTGAGCGATCCTACTCCGGGACACATTGCCCCGCGTCGGATCAGTGCCGATTCGGCATGTATACGGACGCCATCATGTTTATAATTGCGGAAATGCGCGCAGCGTCGACTCTTGCTTGGAGAGATGCACTAGACAAGAAGGTGTGAAATTGTTCGCGAACCGACTGGCGTAAGATACACCAGAATACAGCTAAAAGAAGACCTTTGACTCTTATCCGGTACTTTTATGGAGAGACCTTCAGGATGATGACCTTCTCAGCTCTTCCTCCCGTGAAGCGCCTTCGGAACGATGCAACATTTCGCATCCGCCTTCGACTTACGTGACGCTTTCGATGGGTTTCGGCTCGCGACGTCGAGATGCCTACGCTTCCTCGACGCATAGTGGCCTCAGAGCTTCATGTAAATCGCCAATGACATTCGTGTATTCAAGAGGTAAACAAATGCATGGCTCGCCAATCGGTGAAAAAAATATACTCTCACTGATAATAATTGATGTTCCCGATATCACCATATGATACTGCAACATGATACCTTTCTGATGAGAAACAGAAAAAAAATCCCCCCTCAGTCCCACGTAGAGTTGAGCTTGCGCCCTCTCCATCATCGTGAGATCCCAACCCCTAAACCATTGCATCGAGCGAGGTCTCGCGCTCGGCGCCGGATATCGGATGTACATTTGAGACTCTGGCTCATTAAGAGGTCCTCCCTCACAAGTCATGAGGTACGGAGCGCGGCTCATGCAACTTTCGGCGCTCTCAGACGCTAGAATCTTCGTGACTCAGCTTCGGCTGTGTAAGCAATCAAGACTGAATCAACGCTTTTCTTCGGGCATACGCCTTTTCGTGCTCCCCATCCACGCTCTCCTAAACTCAAGCGAGAGACTCAGCTCTCCTTCCGAAGATGTCATCTTCCGAATCTATATAGGGCTCAAAAGATACGATTTCGTACGTGAACCCACTCGACTCTGAACGAACGCTCCGAACTCAAGCCAACACCATGGAAATCATTCTTCGCCTTAGTTTGTTCCTTATGTTCGTGGTCGCTCGAGTCCAGAGCGTCACCCTCGGAAGCACCGTTGCGATAAGCGATGCGATGTCGGCGACCATGAAAGCCATGCGTAAGACGCAGGGGGTCTTCGTTCGCACGAAGTATCAACATGGCTGCTTGGAATCCGGCTGCTGTAACTTCGGCTTCAGACAGGTAAGGTCCTAATCACCCCGAGTTCGAGGTCCTTTTTCCCGTCATGTACGCGGGGCTTCTGAAATCTTCTCGTGATCCGGAGTTTCGATCACACTGGCTCGTATCTTGCCAGCGATCCGACGCCCATTCACGATTTGTGTGTTTGCTAACTTTTCCTCCGTTCCTCCCGAAGACTTTCTTCAGCCAGGAGTGCCCGATCTGGAGCTGGTACAAGTGGAGCTTCCACGGCCCGATGCTGGTCGCGCACAAACTCTTTTCGGATAGATGTCTCGAGTGCAGAGATGGTCGCCCCGACTGCGCCATTGGAACCACTCAATGCACGGGTGCACACAGTCAGCACTGGAACTTCGGTTTCCACGTGGAAGCGACCAAGTCTGACAAGGAACTATTCTTCACTATCAAGAACCATCTCTTCCCTCATCAGTGCGCGACTATTGATACAGTGAATTTCAATGGACTGGTGCTCCGCGACTGTCTTCAACCTCCGTCCGACAAACAGTTGTTTTACGTGGATAGGGATTGGTTCGACACCGCTATATCAGGGCAACGAATGATCAATTCGGGTTCCGCCCTCAGTAATTTCACTCTCTTCTTCTAAATCGAACGCTTGAGTTCGAATACATATCGGTGCTATGCTATGATGCTCTAATATATTCATGAAGTAATATATGTTTGCCGATGCCGAGAGAAGTCATGTAAAGATACCTAATCTCATTGTTCTCGATCTCGCGATCGGTGGACTCTCTCCCAGAGCCTGAAGATCAGTCAATAAATTATTATGGAGGATCAATCTCCTTGCTTTCAATCTGTCGCTCTGGAGCCGATACAGTGATTGTTCGGATTATCAGTCTGTTTTCCGAATTTCATCGAGAGATGCATAGAGGGGTCACGGAATCAGCCATTGATGTTCCTCGACAGTGGTCGATGAGAACTTTCGATGCGTAGAGTTCTTGTCTATGTGTGTGGAGGTCCGTGTTCCTTCGATGTCGTTGAAAACACCCTGCAGGTCTCCCCCGAAACCGGACCGCGAGTCCACTACACCCTCTACTCAAGCTTCCTCCTGCCAATGTCTCCCCGCTTAAGAGATCAAATTGGGAATGGAAACTCTCCCAAATCTCTATCACGAGCTTCCACCTGTTGGAATGGAGATTCACCACTTCCAGACTACATTCTAGATTCTAGAACGTTGTATGATTTCATCAGCGAGGAAATCACGGAGGCAGCCGCATGCATTTCTGTGGCTCTGGTAGCCGGGGCTTACGACCACATACGTCGACCTCGAAAGCGAATTCTCGCTTTGCACTGCCCGATTTCAGCGTTTCCGCCCGACTTGTCTCACGCTGGCTCGGGGTTTTCTCTCCTACTCTCTGGCATAGTAGCAATTTCACGCCTGGAACCGTGTGCAATCGATTTATCTTCGTTCCGCGGCCTCGCGTATGTCACAATATTGATTCGTTCATCCCCCGATGCAAATCTGCTCGCAAGGGGCTTCTACAGCTCTGAGGATCTCGCTCAAACGACCCGAGACATTCGTCCACCTTCTCATAGCGGTCTGACGCCGGGCCTTCGAGATTCCAGGCTTCAAGAGCGGCAAACATATGTGGAATGAGAAGAGTACGACAGCTGGTTCGTCTCCGATAGCTTTGTCGTGAGAATTCGCTCATGGAGATCTCATGTCTCTCATTGTCAGAGATGAGCTTCCTTTCAAGATGTGCGTATTCTCTTGACCTCAGTGCCCTCGGTAGTAGAGGATTTGATACGTGCATACGAGAAAAAGTCGGTCGATTCTTCGTGGCGATTCGGTGACTCCGGTCGGCTCGCTTTGAAGGTATTATACCACCCAAGTGGCGATGGGGTCGCCCTCCTCAGCGACTAAAGCCGTGAGGACCGTAATGAGAGTCACGGTTTCGACGGGGCGAATGTTGCGCATTCATTTCCGACTCACATGACGCACTCAATGCAAGCCGCGCTGGCTCGCTACATCGAGATACGCGAACATCTTCCCGTATCAACCCCATCAAGTGCTTGTTGACGAACTGTTCACGCGACTGCCACAATGGCGAGTTCCGGCAGTCATCCGCGGTAGCTTCTTCGCCATGTTTTCATCGGTCTGGTCGTTGGGGGAGATCACTCATCTAATGCAAAGAAGGCGATCCCTAGAAAGAGCTCACGAAAAGGTCCTACCGCGAAATCGAACCTGAAGCCCCGCATGTAATAAACGGAATCGCGTAGCTCAATTCGTCGATCCGGCTTGGCCGATCGCGGTCTTCCCGACAAGTGCATCAAGAAAATATGCCGCACGTCATCAATGCAAAAAAGCCGAAAGTAATCGGGACACCGCTGAGACTCCTTTTTCTAATTACACCCTTTTCTCTGATGAAAAGTCCCCGCGTGCTCGTTCTCAACATCGGACCGGACCTACCCGCTCGAACTCGAGACCTGTGCGAAGATTTACTCAATGCGGGTTCGAGCCGCATCGGCGAAAGCGCGCTTCTTCAGATCGCGGCGATTCGCGAATCTTCCAAGTCAATAATTGTTCATGTCGGTCTGTTCGTCGGCATCCCGGACCTCATCGGTCGCGTGTCATATTCGAACGAGTCGTCTGAAGGACTCCGGCTGTATCATCTTTTCACACACCTTCCGCAACTTCTGCGACATCCCTTTCCAGAACCTTGAGCAGCCGCGACGAAAGTGGTCATCCACTTTCAGAACGGCAATCGACTCCGCGCCGTCAAAGCTCCCGGTGGCGATCGGGGTCGTCGATGAGATGACTGAAGCGGGATGGCACGAAAGCTCCGAGCTCGCCCCCGCCTACTCACGGCACTTCCTTCGATTCTGATGATGAGTTCCAACTTCCGCGATTCATGCGGAGAATCAGTGTTCGCCGCAGGTCAGCTCAATCTCTGCGCGTCATCTATCCACGCGCTGTTTTCCGCTTCGAGTGACGGCTCTCGCTTCGCCTCCCACTCGACGCAATCTCTCACCCCACACCTTCTCGATATTTGGTCTACTTTAAGGATTTGCAGTCTCATAGGAAGCACCACTTAGATCCGAGAATATCAGCGATGGAGACGAATCGGAATATTTACCTGTGCGTTTTCCTGCTCGCGGCGGTCGTCCCTGTCCGGAGCTTTCTGTTCAAACTTCCGGCAATCAGCAACGCGTATCAAGTTTACCACGCGGAGTTCCAGAAAACTAACGGAGTATTCCTGCGGACCCACTACAAACATGGCTGCCTCGACTCTGGCTGCTGCAACTTCCGATTCAATCAGGTGAGCATCTGTGGATTCAACTTGAAAACTCAGGGGAGCTGCTTCTCGCGTCCCTCTGCGCACTCCGAAGTTTTCGCTCCGAAATCCAAACGATTGGTGCAAACTTGCAAGTTTCTCAATATCGATTTGTTCGTCCGCAGGTGAGTTACAGCGAGCGCTGCCCGATGTGGAGCTGGTACAAGTGGAGCTTCTACGGACCCATGATTCTTGCTCACAAACCGTTCTCGACCATGTGTCTCGAATGTCTGAACGGTCGGAGGAACTGCGTCATCGGAACCAATGCGTGCAGCGGAACACGCGAGCAGCAATGGACTCTGGAGTTC